GGAGCCGCATCGCTCCAACCTGGCTCCTGCACACTCACCACAGCGGGGCTGGGAGACTCACCATCCTCATTTTGGAGAAGTTCACCAGGCCGTCCTCCGTGTAATTCGGGGTGCCCTCCTCGATGAACGCCAGGTCGGTCAGGTACATTCCCAGGTAGGGGACGCACGGAGGGTCACAACTTCGGGAGCAAACCAGAAACAAGTAAGAAAGAAAACTGCCTTACTCGGGGGCTTTGGAGCAGGGAGGAGGGTGGGACTCCATGGTTAGGAGAATTTGAAGGATTCTCTATAATATATGGAACCCCTAGAAGGAAGCCTCTCCCCGGGAAGGCTGCTGGTCTCCTGGGCCTCATCCTGCAGCCGCCGTCCCCGCGGGCAGGGAGGACAAACATGAGCTGTGGCCGTGCCCCACGCGAAGCCGCTGGCTGCAGGAGGTGAGTCGGGGGCAGCTTCAGCAGAGGGTTGGAAAGACCTTTCGAAGATTCCTCTGCCGGCCTCGGCCCCCGCAGCCAGCGAGACCCCCGCTGAGAGCAGTGCAGGCGCTGGGCTTGCCCCCCACCCTTCACCCCGCACCCCAGCCCTGTCCCCCGAGGAGGATCGTCGTGAGCTGCTGACACCCACGGGTGTCTGCCGTGCATGGCGACGCACAAGCCTGTGGGGATGCACCAGCTCCAGGGCAGCTCAGCACCCCGCTCCCCACGCACCCACGGCACCAGGCTCCTCAGCTGCGGAATCAAGCGAACACCAAGTAACGATGATTTGGGGAACCCGAGTGCTGGCAGAGAAGGCCGATGCCACCTCTGGCAGGGTGCGGGCTGCCTGCTGTTGCACCACCGCCAGCTCTCTGCTGCGCAGTGCTCTCACTTGGGAGCCACCCGGGTGTGCTGCCAATAAGGTCCACGCAAGCTGAAGTAACATGCACTGGCTGGTGGGAAACTGTAAATATGGTACATTTTGGGGTTTAAACTATGAGTCTGTAATGGGAGTGTGGGGGAAAAAGTTTCTGGGTGCCTGGCAGTGATTTCCCCCTTTGCAATCCCTTTTATTCACATCTTTCCACACCGCTGCGCAAAGGAGCAGCCCATTACTCGGGACAGCTTTGCAAGTCACTGCCCT